GTGCATGTGCGTGCGTGCTTGTGGAAAAAGGGGAGGTAAATGCAAGCCAACCGCTCAAAATATCTTCTACTGTATAAACGTGACTTAATCCCTCAAGGTGCTGTTTTAATGACATGCTCAGAATTAATTCTCAGTCCTCCCCATCTTTCCCTTACGTTGTTTGCAAAGGAGAATGAAAGAGTAAACAATTTTGGGTCGCACGGTGACGATCCAGCCCAAGGTGAAGTCGCCGGGGAAGATGTCTCCAGGCAAAGGCAGGAAGTTAACACGATCCCCCTCCATTGTCCTGTTTCTTTGTCATTTCCTTCCCGGATGTGCCGACTGGCCCAGAGGGAGACAAGGTGAGGATGTGCACAAGGAGAAAGTGAAGACAAAGGAAGATGGGTGGGCTGAAGAGGACAAGTGCCATCAACAGTTAGCTACCTGGCTTCCTGTGCTGGGTCAGAGCAGCGAACACGACGGGCTAATTTGCGAACAGCTGATAACAATGCACAGGGACATACTGCCAAGTTCTTTATCTGTGTTTACCCAAATGGCAAAGCTGATTAGAGGCAGGCGACATTATGAAGTGCCATTGTTTCCTTTCTTCTTTGCGCACGTGTAGGGGCTGTTTATGAAGGATCACAATGCAATGTGTGCACCGTGTCTACAGGATGAGGAGAAAGCAGCAGGCCATTGTTTAACAGCTTGGTCATTCATAACTGTTTGTTTGAGTGCGCCTCCTGCAGAAAATGAGCGTTTAGACAGGAAAGGAGCAAATGAGAGCGCCTGTTAGAAGCCCTCGTGCCTAAAATCGTGGTCTCTCGTCAAATAGGCACCGTGGCCTCGATATTCACGGACAGCGCAGGTGTGCTGGACTGCGAGCCTCATTTAGTGTGTTTGGAAATTGGCAGACGGCTCTGTGCCATGCTGGGCTTTTCCGGGGTACCCAGGGCATTTCATTTGACACACATGACAATTTAGAGGCTGAAAGAAGACTAAACTTTACACCTGCTAAAACCATGTCGAAGTATTGGCGCAGGTGGTGTAAGGCGATTTTGGTGAATTTGATCGAGGTGCAGGCAAACAGATGTTTGGCACAGGCAGGCATTGTATTGCACTTTTTTATCTGACAACAGTGTGCGTTGTACCCCCTGAAGAATTGCAGAAATCAATTTAGCGAACACAGTAGTATTATCGGCATATTATTAGCCTATATTTTTAGAATTAACCCCTTGGCCGCAAAGCATGTATGGAGATGGGTCGTTGGGGGGGGAAACATGGACATGAACGCCCAGGCTACAAGGTGGTCACTTTCTAGATGCGATCTGTGATCACCCGAGGTAACTTTACATCATTGCTCCATGGAAGTCTGCTTGCAGTTTCTTCAAAACGTACTTTGCACGCTTCGACCTCCTGCATTGACGCCAGCAAATCAGTTTCTGCTTCTGCCGTGTCAAGGAATACTCGCCTTTCGCGTGCCTCTTTCAAAGGGACTAAGAGGAGCCCATGGGCGACGAAGCGAGTCGGCCGTGTTTACGGCGACACTGGTGCAGCTGCGTGCGTTTGAAAAATACCAACAGTTTGTGTCGCCTGCCCATTCGCACAGTTAGACAGCGTACCAGACTTGCATTGGGCATGAATCGACTTAAGTCTGCTTCTGTTCCGCTTCATGGCTCTTGTCCTTTGTCTGCATGGATGGATAAATAGATAGATGATCTAAATACTATGTTAAATAACAGCAAAAACCAATACACAGATAGACAGGAAGTCAAAGTAAGCTAAAATGCATCTTTGCCATGACTTCGCCTCCTAAATAATGCAAGACACTCCTCTCCAGGAGTCAGCTGCATCCAAATTTTGCTGGATCGACACTATGCATCTCGTGTCCAAAGCTGGCTGACTGGCTGAAGTTCCTGCCAACAAACTTTCTCCCGCTAAGGAAATAAAATGAGTATGAATGGTGGGTGGTGACGGTGGGGGAAGTTAAGAGAAATGACGAGTGAATGTGTTCGACATGCGGCGGAAAAGGTTAACGACGCTCTGCCGCTTGTCCCCAGTGTTTTCCCGCCGCGTGCAATTATTAAGACACTGGTGACACATCTAAGCCCTATGCCTGCAACAAGGCTCTCTTCCTTCTCTCCTCCACCCACAATGACGCACCCCCCCAACCCCCTCCCTCCACAAGAATTCAAAGAACCATAGCTCATGAAATATGCATACTTTCTTAAAGCCACCCTATTGGGGGCCAGGCTGTCACTGGGCCCACAAACATGTCTGCACCGCACAAGGATGAGACAAATCTCTAGTAATGGGCAAGAGGGGAGATGATGCTTGGTAACGGCTTTGTAGGTGTGTGTGCGTGTGCGCGTGTGTTTGTGTCAGCTCATTAAGAAGATGCACTTGCATGTCCGCATGACCCTTTGTCACGTGTTCACCAAAAAAAACAGAGTAAAGGGAGACAAATAAAGACTTCTGGCAAGGAATGAGGTGACTTTTTTTTCTCCACGACGATGCACCATGGAGCGGCGACACAACTTAAAGAGGAAGCAGGAGAAACTTGTAATCTCTGCACTCAGCCTTTGAACTCGGCCCGATGAGACACAAGCTTCCTAAAGCAAAAAAACAAAAAAAATCCAAGGTTTCCAAAGAAGCGCTCGCAGAAGATTACTCAGAATACTGATGTAGAGTCCAATCAGATTCCTCAGGGCGCCAAAAGGGACTCTACGGGAAAGTAAAGTGCGAGTGGGGAAAAGGACGGTATACACCCTGCGTGCAATCATGCGTCTTGTAGCAAAAATGGTGACAAAAATGACATTTTCTCCATCACTTATCCACTACTTGCCTCAGATTTGGTCAATCTGTATTCTGCTTCAAAATGGAACTGTGAGCGCCTGAAAACCTCACTGATTTTGGAAAGCGTCAGCCCCTCAGTCAGTGAGGGTCTCCAACATTCAGAATCTCACATTTATTGGAGAGGCCATTGAGAGCAGCAAGTAAACAGCAGCAAAGTGGAGACTGTGGAGGTCAAAGTGAGAGATTGGAAACATACATCCATTTTTGATCACACTTTTCCTCGTTTGGTTTGCTGGCGGGCTGGAGCCTTACAAAAGCTTACAGCAAGATCAGGTTGATGATGCCCAACAGGTGACCAGCAGTGGCATTAAAAGAGAAAAAAAAAAATCATCAATAGGTCTGGAAAAAAAATAGGGCGGCAAGATGTCAAGGTAACCTGTAGGTGGTTCTTTGTACATGATAAAGCCACATTCATTTGTGTGCAGCAAACAGGTTCTTAATGGACAGTTGGGGGTTGGAGTGACTGTGTGAAAGCTTGAACAAGAACAACAAGGAAAAAAAGCGCTTCAAGGTGTCTTACGATCTAATTGGGGCTGCAGCTGCTACCATTTTCATGATTTGGGTATGCGTGCGCGAGTGTGTGTGTGTGTGTGTGTGTGTGTGTGTGTGTGTGTGTGTGAATGTGTGCTGGATTTGGAAAGAGTGGGCTAAAGTGCCACTGCCTTGCTACTGGCTCTTCCCTCCTTATCCAGCTGTTGCTCGTCTGTCAGAGAGCAAAGGTCTGCTGGCGCGCCATCAGCCTCAACCCCAGCCTCCCTCATGACCAAGGGGGGGCTAAAGGTACAGAGGTGCTCCCAACAAATGGCGTTTAAGTAAACAATAGCCTACCATTTGTTAAATAACCTGAAATTCTGGCTTGTGATGCAGACATATTTTGTTTCCCTCAAGGTGTTAAATTAACACGTTTGTGCATTGTGTGCGTGCGTGTGTGTGTGTGTGTGTGTGTGGGGGTTGGAGTGACTGTGTGAAAGCTTGAACAAGAACAACAAGGAAAAAAAGCGCTTCAAGGTGTCTTACGATCTAATTGGGGCTGCAGCTGCTACCATTTTCATGATTTGGGTATGCGTGCTCGAGTGTGTGTGTGTGTGTGTGTGTGTGAATGTGTGCTGGATTTGGAAAGAGTGGGCTAAAGTGCCACTGCCTTGCTACTGGCTCTTCCCTCCTTATCCAGCTGTTGCTCGTCTGTCAGAGAGCAAAGGTCTGCTGGCGCGCCATCAGCCTCAACCCCAGCCTCCCTCATGACCAAGGGGGGGCTAAAGGTACAGAGGTGCTCCCAACAAATGGCGTTTAAGTAAACAATAGCCTACCATTTGTTAAATAACCTGAAATTCTGGCTTGTGATGCAGACATATTTTGTTTCCCTCAAGGTGTTAAATTAACACGTTTGTGCATTGTGTGCGTGCGTGTGTGTGTGTGTGTGTGTGTGTGTGTGTGTGTGTGTGTGTGTGTGTGTGTGTGTTTTCTTTAGCTCTGGCACAACGCTGATAAGTCACAGTCTCTGAGAGTTAATTACCGCGAGCTATTTTTTGCATCAGGACATATGCGAGTTATTAGCAATCAGTCAGGAGCCAAATCGTGCTTGGAAGTGCAGAAAGTTTAGGGTGGCTTACTTTTAAAAGGACGCCCCTTTGACTTCGTTCATCAATCTGCTCAACTCGATTGGGTGTTTTCAGGTTTCAGTATTTTGATTTAAGGATTATTTAAGTGTTGGGGGCGACGGTGACGTAACCCCCCACCCCCCAAATTAAAGCAAAAAAACAAATGCGCTCTCTATTCCTAGCACGTAAATATATTGAATGTACGCAGACTTTTTTTATTCATCCGCCCTCACATATTCAGTTTGACAATACACAACATGTAGCCCAACTTTCCCTTCAGTGTCTCCGCATCGGTGACCATCTTCACGCGCTCCCCGCAAGAATCCCGAGCAAAGTGCGTGTAATCCACTCACTGCCGCGCCACTCGCCATACAGTGTGGGATCCACTGATGCAATCATGCTTGCCCAACTAATTGCACGCGTAATTCCACATCCGAGTTTATGCGTGAGTGTTGTGTTGTCCTGCGCGGAGCGGCGCGTCGCACCGGCTGCCTTGACGCAGCGCGCCTTAAACGCACTAAAACGTCCATCTTAGACAACAAGGAACAAATAAAGAGTGAGCCATACCTGAAGCCATAAGGCAAAAGATGAGGTAAAGCACGGTCATCGTAGTTGTTCCCCCGTGGCCGCGTGGAGAAACGCCTGCTCCGTCTGTTTGGTGCGGGGCTGCTGGTGGTCCACTCACTCGCACGCTCTCCCGTGATACGATCCACTCGAGTGCAATCGCTGTGAATAAGTCCCAACACTTGATTTAAGTCGAGTCACAGATGCATTGTTTCCTACTCCTGATAACTTTCCACTCTGCAGAATCAAAGCCACGGGCTGGAAGCGCGGTCCACTTGTTCACTGCTGCGCGCTCGCCTCCAGGACTGTGCGCACTTGTGATGATGGAGCCGGCTGAAGTTGCCTCTCTCCTCCTCCTCCTCCTTCTTTTCCTCCGTGTGAGTGACTCTCTCGCTGTTATATGTATGGAACAGACGCACCTCTCACGCACACTCCTCTCCGCTTCTTGCCAACGGGAGACGCGCACTGACACTCTCTGTTGGGAGCTTACACCACATTTGGCACTAAGCTTAGTGTGCGGAGCCCCTCTGCTTCACACGCACCCCGGTGGGGTGGTGGGAAGGGTGAGCTAACCTCACCCCCCCCCATCCTTTCCCCCGCCTCTTCGGCCCCCCTATTGGCTGAGCTGGCGTCAAGGGGAGGGCTTCGTTTGAAACAGTTAGCCCAAGTCAAACGTGTGCTTGAATAAGCATTTTGCTGTGCAGACGCCCAGACGTTAACGGACGCTATCATAATCGGAGGTGGCCATTATTTACACCTTGTACTGGAAGTGCAGAAAGATTGTGGTGCAAGTAAGTAGAAGCACTGATTCAATGCCTTGACTTGAATGGAAAAAAGTACCCTAAAATGTAGTTCTAAACGATCCATTTTTGATGACTCGACACAGTGGAAAAAAAGCCTCTGCGCTCAAAGTAAATCAGCTTTCACATCATGTCATATGACTGCATTCTCTGTTTTTCAATCTATCAATCAATGGCAGTTGACTTTATCTCTATTCATTTGTGTGTATCCCATCTTACGTTGGGGTGCAAGCTGCATGTCAGCCAATCACAGGGCACATCTAGACAAACATTCACACTCGCATTCACCCAATAGGGCCATTTAGAGTCCTCAATTAACATTCCACGCAGGTTTTTGAAATGTAGGAGGAAGCCGGAGTACTGACAGCAAATCCGCACAAAAACATGGAAAACAAAAAAACTCCACACAGAAAGGTCAAATTGATCCTGAACCATCAACTTCAGAACCGTAAGGTGTGCGTGCTAACCAGTTGCCCACCATGCCGCCCTCCTATAGTTCATCCATCCATTTTCTGATGCGCTTTATGCTCACAAGAGTCGCGGGCCGGGCTGCAGCCTATCCCAGCCGTTTTCGGGCAATAGGCAGGGGACACCCTGAACCGGTTGCCAGCCAATCACAGAGCACACAAAGACCAAAGACCATTCGTGCTCACAATCACATCAAGAGACAATTTAGAGTCGGGGTGTCCAAAGTCGCTCCTCAAGGGCTGCTTTCCTGCCTGTTTTCCATGTGTTCCTGCTGCAACACACCTGATTCAAATGATGAGAATCATTCTCATGCTTCTTGAGAGCTTGCTGATGAGCGTATCAAATTGATTCAGGTGTGTTGCAGCAGAGAGAGATGGAAAACAGGCAGGACAGCGGCCCGCGAGGACCGGAGCTGGACATGCCTGATTTAGAGTGTTCCATTGACAGGCTCCACATGTTTTTGGAATATGGGAGGAAACGGGAGTCCCTGGAGAAAACCCACACAGGCACGGGGAGAACATGCAAACTCTAAATGGAAAGGCCGCAGCCGGATTCGAACCCTGCATCTCTGCACTGCACTACACTGGCGTGCTAACCAGTTGACCGCCATGCCGCCGTCCTTTAGTTCAGTCACAGATAAAGTGCATTTATTTTACGAGATCTAAATTACACTGTTTCCCATCACAACAACCCTAATGAGATCACGTAGAGGCAAGAACGGGATCTCCAAATGTTGCCTTAACAAAGATAATAATGCTCTTTAATTGAACCGAATTTATTGTACTAATCCCTCAATTGGGAAATTCAATTTGTGGATGTTGTAGCTTGCAGCGGTGCATCCTACTGAGAACTGTTTCTTGTCTGACCCCGCTCGCATCGCTCAATGATCTAAAAAAAAGATTTGAACCAACTTCAGAACCGTAAGGTTTGCGTGCAAACCAGTTGCCCACCGTGCCGCCCTCCTATAGTTCATCCATCCATTTTCTGAGCGCTCCAGCACCACCCCCTTTGCCTTGGGTGAAATAATCGTGACTGTTCTGCTGAATTCCATTTTTTCTTCATTCAGTTGCGGGGCGGGCTGGAGCCTATCCCAGCCGTTTTCGGGCAATAGGCAGGGGACACCCTGAACCGGTTGCCAGCCAATCGCAGAGCACACAAAGACCAACAACAATTCACGCTCACAATCACATCAAGACACAATTTTGAGTCGGGGTGTCCAAAGTCGCTCCTCAAGGGCCGCTCTCCTGCCTGTTTTCCATGTGTTCTTGCTGCAACACACCTGATTCAAATGATGAGGATCATTCTCATGCTTCTTGCGAGCTTGCTGATGAGCGTATCAAATTGATTCAGGTGTGTTGCAGCAGAGAGAGATGGAAAACAGGCAGGACAGCGGCCCGCGAGGACCGTAGATGGACACCCCTAGATTAAAGAAACAGGACCATCGTTTGAATGGTTGAAGTTACAATAGCGAGCACTGCAGGTTAGAGTGATGTGACAATTTACAGAGGCTAAAATCTGATTGGACAAAAAGAAAGGAAAAAAAATCCACCATTCACAATAATCTGTCATTTATCAGCACATTCCACACGACAGTAATTATAGTTAAATGTGTTCATACCTTTGAAAGGCAGGTCTGGTCTGGTCCGGTCCGGTCCGGTCAGCAACATGGAAGTGAACATCGAATGTTTGCGGCATACTTGTGGCTGACTTCCTGGTTAGCATTAGCCGCTGTGGTGTTCAGTGACGGTGTCAGTTGAGGCCACCGATAGGTGTGCTCCAAATGTGCCTCTGTTTTCTGTCTTGTGTTTTTGTTACCGTTTGCTTAATAAAGCGATTGAAAGCACTGGACCACCTGTTTTGGCTTCCGGTGTGTTTGAAGTCTTTTAAGTTGAGGCTAGATTGCATTAGCTAACATCCTTGACTAGAGCAGCGCTACCGTATTGTACCTCATAATAAACAAAGATGGAAAAAAGTAGGAGAACCGTGATCTCGTGATGAGACTGCATTGAGGGGAATCAATGTCAAATGAATAGAAGAGACTGTTGGCAGGCATGTGCACAGATCGACCTGCAGCGACGCTCCAGCACCACCCTGTTTGCCCTGGGTGAAATAATAGTGACTGTTCTGCTGAATTCCATTTTTTCTTCATTCATAAATTAAAGACAACAACAAATAATTAAACTCTGTCATTACACTCACAAGTGTTTTGATGTCTGCGTTTTTGTATGAGTGATGATGGTTGCTGTGTTTTTGGCTTGAGCACCTGCCCCCAAAAACATGTCGGCATCTGCCCACATATTAATGTGATGTTTAAGAAAATTCAGGTTTCCTTTAGACCGCAATGTAAAGGATATAACAACACTAACATCTAAAGTCCTTTTTCATACACTGAAAAGCGAATACCGGTAATTTGATTTTTACTCAGAGAAGTAACGTAACACGATGAAGCTCAGAATCGTTTCTTTCGCCGCCAAACATGACATTACATTACAACACAAATAGTAAAACGGTGTCCCTTTTTTGGGGCAATATTTCTTTGCAAGTGGAAGAGAAAATGGAACTTATTCCAGAAGCAGTTTGATCTCAAGTGAGCCCGTTGTCATGTGGCGGGCGCACACAAAGAGGAGAGAATTGTTGTCATATTTCAACAAAAGTGAAGGTGTTTTATTGAGAGATGAAAACAACGCAGTCTATCACCCGCCTGCGGCTGTTAATAGACGCGCCCTTTCATCTGCTTCATTCGTTATTCAAGGATCAATTGATTAACCAAAAATAATAGGCCCGGCATTCATCTGCTTAAATCATCTTTCACGTGCGTGTTTTGTAGCAGTCAAGAGACCTTTATTTAGAATTGACACATCCCCCCCAATTCATTCACACAGGCAGCACACATGCGCCCGGTCAACACAACCAGGTGGTGAGCGCTCCACAAGAGGGTGAAAAAAAATTCATCAAAGTGGACACACTCAGCATTCGTGTAGCATGTGTGGACTTTGGGGGGAAATTATCACCTATTGAACAATCCACATCATGATTCGCATTTTTTTTACCCCCTCTCTCCAAGAAAAAAAACCCCAACTGTATTCTTTAGACCCCAGGGCAACCCCTTTCTGTTTATTGCCTCTCACTAATGCAAACATAAGGGTCCCCTGCTAGTAAACACATGTTGATGGGAGAAACAGCTTGCACAGCCGGGAAGCCGACTGAGGTTAGGGCGAGGGAGCACATGGATGAGGGCTCCGTGCGTGTGTATGAATGTGTGTTTGCACAGGAATCCACACGTCGGTGTTATTTTTACAAACATCACAGAGCCAAGCAGCTCGCATGTCGGTGCTCGGAGGTAGGAGATTGAAAGGATCGCGTGTGCGTGTGGGACCTGGTGTTTGCGTGTGAATCCATCATTGATTGACTGGAGGTAGGATGACGGCTGGGGGGATGCTGGGTGAGCTGTAAAAAGCAGCGGTGGGGGGGGGGGGCTCCACCAGTTGTGCTGTGCTACTAAAATGGACATCCATTGTGTAGAGCCTGTCTCCTGCATTGACGTGTATGATGTCACGCAGATGGATGGTAGTTGAGGGCAGATGATACACACCGATGTGAGTCTTAATTACAGTGGCCACCGCGGCATCAAACGGTGGGCGCCCAGACTCCCCAAGCTTTTGACTGTGTGAATAATTGATGAATAAAAAGGGGATTTTCAGCAGTGGGTTTATTAATAATAGATAGGGTTTGATATTTACTAAACTGTTGAGCGGGAGAAAGGGGTGACAGTTTGGGGTGTCGTCTGCATGGTAATGGTAAGGAGGTAATAAATAAGGTATGAGAGGCAATATATGGAAATGGGATTCATAAGGAAATGAGAATAATTTAACAAAATATTATGATGACCCCCGGGTCAATTAAAAAGATGATGTCCGTCATGCTAAGCTTTAAACTCACACTTCTCGCTCCCTCTTTTGATGTTATTAGGGGCGTTTCGGCTTCAACGAATATGAAACTGAATAAATCAACCTTGTTATCTTGGCGAGGTAAAGAAGACATTTTTCTTTCCTAAGTAAAGAGAACGAGGCACAAGTTGAGGAATGTGTTTTGTTTAGTTTGAAAACCTTGAGCTGGGTGGGAACGTTCCGCATGACTTTCAATCATATCTGGACGCATTTTTTACATTCTGATTAATCAACTGTGCTTTTATTGAGAAAAGAAGCCCTGAGCACATATTATTCTCATCGACTGGAAGAATGATTCTTCCTGGTACTCGGGCTTCCTATGATGGTTAGCAA